CCTAAAGGACATATTAGTATGAGAGCAACCCAGATGTACAGCCAGCCTAGTACAATTTCAGGAACTGATTTTTCATCACACAACCAATGGGTACATCTAGAGGAAATTCAGGCTTTAGAATTTCCAAAGCTGCAGGGGATTGATGAACATCTGTAAAATGTCAGTAGTAGCAGCATTGATGGCTTATGGGTAGGACCCTACTAAATTCACAGCCATGAAAAAACAGATTTCACAGTCTGATGAAGCCTGTGAAATCTGGTCTCCTCCCATGAAGTCTGGTCGTTTGTGTGCTTTTACCCTACACAATGTAGGTTTAATGGGAGAGAACAATGTTTCTCAAATTGGGGATCTTGATCCAAAAGGGAGTTGGAGGAGAGGTTACAAGGCAGCATTACCTTCAAAACCCCATAACAATCTTGTGAATCCCTCCCAACACCTTTTTGTGTCAGGAGCTCTACAATTACACCACCATGACACTTCATATTTAAATAGCTAAAATAATGAATTTATTACTTTTAAAATCCTGTGATCATGACATTGACCAAAATAGTTTAGTAGGGCCCTACTTCCAGGGTTTTGTCCAGACCTCAGTGAGAAAGATTGTGACCAAAATGCTATGTAGAAACTAAGGCTTGTGAAATTAGGCATCACCAACATTGTGTGGAAGAAAATTTGAATAACTCTTTTTTTTTCTTTTAGGAAAGAAAATTACTCAACTGCCAACTGCCAGCTCACTGCAATTTAGATCATAGAATCATAGCGCTGGAAGAGACCTCAGGAGGTCATAAAGTCCACCCCCAGCTTAAAGCAGGATCAATCCCAACTAAATCATCCCAGCTAGGGCTTTGTCAAGCCAGGACTTAAAAACCTCTAGGGACTGAGATTCCACCACCTCCCTAGGTAAACCATTCCAGTACTTCACCACCCTCCAGGTGAAATAGTTTTTCCTAATATCCAACCTACACCTCCCCTTTTGTAATTTGAGACCATTGCTCCTTGTTCTGTCATCTGTCACCATTGAAAACAACCTCTCTCCATCCTCTTTGGAACTCTCCTTCAGGTAGTTAAAGGCTGCTATCAAATCCCACCAAACTCTTTTCTTCTGTAGATTAAATAAGACCAAATCCCATAGCCTCTCCTCATAAGTAATGTGCTCCACCCCCAATCATTTTTATTGCCCTCCACTAGATTTTCTCTAATGTATCCTCATCCTTTTTGTAATGGGGGGCCCAGAATTGGATGCAATACTCCAGATGTGGCCCGTGACGAATAAAGGAGAATAATCACACCCCTAGATCTGCTGGCAATGGTCTTACTAATGGACCCCAAGATGCTGTTAGTCTTCTCGGCTACAAGGGCACACTGTTAACTTATATCCGGCTTCTTATCCATTGTAATCCCCAGGTCCCTTTCTGTAGAACTGTTGCATAGCCAGTCAGTTGTAGTGATTGGGATTCTTCTGTCCCAAGTGAACATAAGAATATTAAAAGGGCCATACTGGGTCATACCAAAGGTCCATCTAGCCCAATATTCTATCTTCCATCAGTGGCCAATTCCAAATGTCCCAGATGTCCCAGAGGGAACCGACAGAACAGGTATTCATTGTGTGATTCCTCTGCTGTCATCCATTTCCTGCCTCTGATAAACAGAGGCTAGGGACACCATTCCTACCCATCTTGGCTAATAGCCACTGATGAACCTAACCTCCATGAATTTAGTTCTTTTTTGAACCCTGTTAAATTGCTGGTTTTCACAACATCCTCTGGCAAGGAGTTCCACAGGTTGACTGTGCACTGCATGAAGAAAAACTTCATGTTTGTTTTAAATCTTCTACCTTATTAATTTCATTTGGTGTGACCCCTAGTTCTTATGTTATAGGAACAAGTAAATAATTTTTCCCCATTCACTTTTTCCACATCAGTAATGATTTTATCGACCTCTATCATATTCCCCCCTTAGTCTCCTCTTTTTTAAGCTGAAAACTTCCAGTCACTTTAATCTCTCTTCATATGGGATCCGTTCCAAACTCCTGTTGCCCTTTTCTGAACCTTTTCCAATGTCAATATATTCTTTTTGAGATGAGGCAACCATATCTGTACGCAGTATTCAAGATTTTAGGTTTTATATAGAGACAAAAAGATATTTTCTGTCTTATGCTCTATCACTTTTTAACATCCTAACATTCTGTTTGCCTTTTTGACTGCTGCTACACATTGAGTGGATGTTTTTAAAGAATTATCCACAGTGACTCCAAGATCTCTCTTTAGAGTAGTTATAGCTAAATTAATCCCCATCATATTGTATGTATAGTTGGGATTATTTTTCCAATGTGCATTACTTTACATTTATCAACATTAAATCTAATTTGCCATTTTGTTGCCCAAACACTTAGTTTGGTGAAATCTTTTTGAAGCTCTTCACAGTTAAGACCAAAGCAGACTATCTGGAGCAGTTTGATATCATCTGCAAATGTTGCCACCTCACTGTTTACCTCTTTCTCCAGATCATTTATAAATAGGTTGAATAGGATTGGACCCTTGGGGGACACCATTAGTTACCTCCCTCCATTCTGAAAACTTACCATTTATTCCTACCCTTTGTTTCCTGCCCTTTAACTAGTTATCAGTCCATGAAAGGACCTTCTCTGTTATCCCTTAACACCTTACTTTACTTAAGAGTCTTTGATGAAGGACCTTATCAAAGCCTTTTAGAAATTTAAGTACACTATATCCACTGGATTCCCCTTGTCCACATGTTTGATGACCCCTCAAAGAACTCTAGTGTATTAGTAAGGCATGATTTCCCTTTACAGAAACCATGTTAACTTTCCCTCCAACAAATTACGTCCATCCTTGTGTCTGACCATTTTATTCTTTACTATAGTTTCAACTAATTTGCCTGGTACTGACATCAGACTTACTGGTCTGTAATTGCCAGGATCACCTCTTGAGCCCTTTTTAAATATTGGCATTACATTAGCTAACTTCCAGTCATTAGGTACAGAAGCTAATTTATAGAATAAGTTACAAACCACAGTTAATAGTTCCGCAATTTCACATTTGAGTTCTTTCAGAACCCTTGGGTGAATGCCATCTGGTCCTGGTAACTTGTTACTGTTAAGTTAATCAGTTTGTTCCAAATCCTCATCTAATGACACTGGGACAATTCCTCGGATTTGTCACCGAAAAGTACAGAACTCTGCACTTGTCCTTGTTGAACCTCATCAGATTTCTTTTGGCACAGTCCTGCAATTTTTCTAGGTGACTCTGGATTCTGTCCCTACTCTCCAACATAGCTATCTTGCTCTCCCCCTAGCTTTGTGTCATCTGCAAATTTGATGACCATGCAATCCATCCACTCATACAGATAATTAATAAAGATGTTGAACAAAACTGGCCCTAGAACTGACTTTTGGGGCACTCTGCTTGAAACTGACTGCTAACTAAACATCAAGCCATTGATCACTACCCATTGACCCCGATGATCTTGCCAGCTTTCTATCCATCTTACAGTCCATTTATCCAATCCATACTTCCTTAACTTGCTGGCAAGAATACTATGGGAGACTGCATCAAAAGCTTGCTAAAGTCAAGGTATATCATGTCCACTGCCTTCCCCATATCCAGAAAGCCAGTTACCTCATCATAGAAGGCCATTAAGTTGGCCAGGCATGACTTCCCCTTGGTGAATCCATGTTGCCTATTCCTGATCTCTTTCCTCTCTTCCAGGTGCTTCAAAATGGATTCCTTTAGGTTCCCTTCCATGGCTTTTTCTGGGGACTAAGAGGCTGACCAGTTGGTAGTTCCCCGTATTCTCCTTCTTCCCTTTTTTAAAGAAGGGCACTACATTTGCCTTTTTCCAATAGTCTGAGTCCTCCCTCGATCACCACGAATTTTCAAAGATAATGACCAATGGCTCTGCAGTCACATCAGCCAACTCCCTCAGCACCTTCAGATGCATTAGATCTGGCCCCATGAATGTGTGTATGTCCAGCTTCTCTAAATAGTCCTTATCCTGTACTTTCTTCACTGAGGGCTGCCCTCTTCCTTCCCATACTGTGCTGCCAAATAAGCAGTCTGGGACCTGACCTTGTCTGTGAAGACAGAGGCAAAACAAGCATTGAGTACTTCAGCTTTTCCTACATCATCTGTCACTAGGTTACCTCCCTACATAAGAACATAAGAACGGGCGTACTGGGTCAGACCAAAGGTCCATCTAGCCCAGTAGCCTGTCTGCCGACTGTGGCCAGCACCAGGTGCCCCAGAGAGGGTGGACCGAAGACAATGATCAAGCAGCTTGTCTCCTGCCATCCTTCTCCAGCCTCTGACAAACAGAGGCCCAAGGACACCATTTTATCCCCTGGCTAATAGCCTTTTATGGACCTAACCTCCATGAAATTATCTAGCTTCTCTTTAAACTCTGTTATAGTCCTAGCCTTCACAGCCTCCTCTGGCAAGGAGTTCCACAGGTTGACATGCAGGGGTTTAATCAGGGAGGCCAAAATGCAATTGGAACTGCAGCTAGCAAGGGATGTGAAAGGTAACAAGAAAGGTTTCTACAGTCATGTTAGCAATAAGAAGGTAGTCAGGGAAGGTGTGGGACCGTTTCTGAATGAGGGTTTTTAAACTGGCTCCCCTTGCAGACTAGCTCCCGCCTGGCACCCCACGCTGCTGCTTCTAATACAGAGGCAACAGTGCATGGTGGCAGGGGGCTTTCCAGGAGTGGGGCCAGAGTGCGCTGGCTGCTGGTCCTGACCCTGGGGACTATAGAATAGTTGACTAACAGCTAAGAATTCATGCAGTTAGTCACTGTTCAATTAACCAATAACTAACATCCCTATTTCAGACAGATCACAAACCCTTGAAAGTCATGTTGACAGGCAGCCTTTTCACATGGCTTAGGTGTGGAAGCTCTGCACAACTATAAGTTTATATAAATTTATCTGCATGGTGGGTTTATAACATGAAAGTGTCCCCATGATGCTATCTGTGTAATTCCAGGTTGGCCATTTGACATCATCATGTGTAAAATGAGTGGACTGGTGCAGGGGATGTCTGTCTCATCTTCAGTTTTCACTCTGGTGGCCATTGCAGTCGAAAGGTACGTAACAGCAATAATCTCTTTCGAGCCATTGGCCTGCAGAAACAGACTAAGCTTTAAGGTCATTTCAGCTCTGTTTCTCTGGGGGGGACCCCATCTGGTGACAGAGTACTGCATCTGCATGACAATTGTTTTCCTTCCCTAGAACATACACACAGTACTCAGCTTGTATTTCAACATCTCTCACCCCATTTCCTTGTGATCCAATATAAAATGTATGTGATGATGGAGAGAGAAAGACAATTGAGGAGGAAGGCAAAGAAAGAAGATATTCAGGCCTTTACCACACACTGGCATATGAGCCTAAGATATGTGTAATGGACATCCAGGAAGCTAGAAAAGTAACTGTCATGGATCCACAGGGTTGGTTCTATGGCTCCAGCTTTGGAACTGTCTCTGGAAGGACAGCCCCCTTAGGTGTCTCACTCTTCCTCCAGGGTGAGCCACACCGCTTCACTGCCTCCTTTGGCTGGACCTCTGGTGCAACAGGGAAAAATTCATGAGGGAGACTTGTACAATCTGTAGGGAGCACCTCCTCCATCAGCATGTGCAGTGACAGCCAGCATTATAAAAGAGAAGAGTTTATTAGTCAACTGGAATCCAGCACAGTAAGTCCTGGGTTAGCAAAGAGAAAATAAAGTTGCAGCAAAGTCAATCCTAGTCAGGACTCCTCCAGCAGCCAACTTAATTGCCCTTGTGGCACTTCCCTAGTCCTTTATTCTCTAGGGCTGCGTCTAGACTGGCAAGTTTTTCCGCAAAAGCAGCTGCAGGGTTGCTACTCTGGCCGCTTGAATTTCCGCAAGAACACGGACCATCTCATGTAAGATTGTCAGTGTTCTTGCAGAAATGCTATGCTGCTCCCGTTCGGGCAAAAGCCCTCTTATGCAAATGCTTTTGTGCAAGAGAGCCAGTGTAGACAACGCGGTATTGTTTTGTGCAAAAAAGCCCCGATCGCGAAAATGGTGATTGGGGCTTTCTTGCACAAAACCACATCTAGATTGGCACGGACGCTTTCCTGCAAAAAGTGCTTTTGCGGAAAAGCATCCGTGCCAATCTAGACGCTCTTTTCCGCAAATGCTTTTAACGGAAAAACTTTTCAGTTAAAAGTATTTGCGGAAAATCATGCCAGTCTAGACGTAGCCTAGCAGGTAAAATGCTGCTTTGCTTCCTGAAGAGAGATGTGCCACCTATGATTGTTGGTTGCTAGATATCAAAGTCCCAAGTCATTGGATTTGCCTTTGTCTCTTCAAAAACCCAAACCCCAAATAGCTGGGAGCCATTCATATCTGAGCCTTTGCAGAGAGCAAACCACCCTTTTTACTCCCTAGATAACATTGCACCACATAGAGAAAACTGAGGCAAACATAAGATTCGATAAAAAAAAATTACATCAATTCATATTTCATCACAGTAGCTATATAAATAAAATGTGGTAACAGTGAGATCCACGCTTTCCTTCCCTATAAGGTGCACACTTGTAGGGCCATGAAGGAGGCCACCTAGGGCTGCACACTTAATTAGCAGAGGTGTGTATGCTGCACTAAGAAGCATGGCCACATGGGATTGGAAGATGGCAGCAGAGTGAGGTTAGTGGTGGTGATGGGGGAGCTTGGAGTGTGCCAAGTGATGGCAACTCCCCCAGTTCTGGGGGTGCAGTGCAAAGAGATGCTTCTCCCCCCATCACCAGCCTGTGATGGGGAGAGATGCCTCTCCTTTCCCCTCCCAGCTCCAGCCCCAGAGCTGCTACTGCAGGGAGCTGTACCCTTCTCCCAGCCCAGATGCTGAGGACTGAGGGAGGTCATTTGTCCCCAGTGAAGCCCCAGGGAAGCCTTCACCCCAAACTCCTCATCTCCAACCCCACCCCAGAGCTAGCACCTATAGCTGGAGCCATCATCCCAACCCTCTGCCCCAGCCCTGAGACCACACCCATGCTCTGAACCCCTTGGCCCCACCTCTGCCACACACTACCTCCATATTGATGGGCTGCATCTAGACTGGCAGGGGGGTGCCTACACTGGCCACTTTGAATTTGCGCAAGAACACTAATGATCTAATGTAAGATTGTCAGTGTTCTTCCGCAAATACAATGACTCTCCCGTTCGGGAAAAAGTCCTCTCGCGCAAATGCTTTTGTGCAAGAGGGCCAGTGTAGACAGCTGAGAACCGTTTTGTGCAAAAAAGCCCCGATGATGAAAATGGCGATCGGGGCTTTCTTGCGCAAACCCGCGTCTAGATTGGCACGGACGCTTTTCCGCAAAAAGTGCTTTCGTGCAGAAGCGTCCATGCCAATCTAGACGCTCTTTTCTGTAAATGCTTTTAACGGAAAAACTTTTCCGTTAAAAGCATTTGCGGAAAATCATGCCAGTCTAGACGCAGCCATGCAGTTTACAACATTAATTCCACACATGGATGGGAAAAATTAGAGGGAACATTGTTCCATGTCTACTTAACGGTTGTACCTCATCGTAGAAAGTGAATTGTCTTCTACTACATGTATGGAATTCAATTCTCTGTAATGGTAGAAAGCATATAGATTGTCCTCCTAGTTTCCCTAAACAGTATTAAATAGCTCCCAATGTGTAACTCAGAGCTCTGTGTGAGTTTAAGAAATAGTTCTGACATAGCTGATTACTCAGACTAACATTTCCCACTGAGCAACTGACAAAAGGTACAATAATACTCTCCATTAAAATAAAATGGATTCTCTTCTACACTTTTTAAATCCAGCAAAATCTGTGACTGAGCAGCTGAAAACTGATGTGACTCAGAAAATGTCCTTCTATCTATAGCAAATGGTTTATTCTCTAAGGCTATATCTAGACTATAGGGTTTTGTTGGAAAAACAGCCTTTTTTCTGACAAAACTTGAGTTATGTCCACACTGCTAGTGCATTCTGTTGACAGTAAATTGAAAGAACAGAAAGCTTTATGCACAATTGGTATTCCTCATAGAAGAAGCCTTTTTGCGAAAGATCTATTTCGTAAAAAGGCGTATGTGGACAGGGAAGAGGGAGGCTTTTTGGAAGAAGGAGGGAAGAGAAGAAAGCACAGGTGCCCTGGTGGCCACTCTATCCATAGCAATCACTGCTTAGATACAAGTGTGTCCAGGCAGTCTGGACGCTATCTTTCGAAAAAGCGCATCACTTTTTTGATGCGCTTTTGCAGTGTGGACGCTCTCTTGCACAAGAAGTTTTTGTGGAAGATCCCTTCTGAAAAAAGCTTCTTGCACAAGAAACCTGTAGTCTAGACATTGCCTTTCATCTGAGCCCCCAGGCTAACAGCATCCTAACAGAATGTTTACCCATTAAAGCAAACCAGCTGTTTAAATATTTTCCAAATTAAGTAAGACAAAATGTTACCTTGTGTTCGATCTTTAGGTGGGTGAGTGGGTGGATGAAAAATGTTGTGGGCAAGGTATAAAAGACTTGATATATCAATAGTGTTAGTTTAGTTGTAGAGACAAAGAATGCTTGCTTGTAAACAGAACCAGCAAGCATTTCATTTAGAAATGTTCTGCTCTCTTCCTTTAGAAAACACAAATGTGAAAGTCTTCTAGCTGTCTCTCTATGATTACCACTTTTGGCCTCAGCTACATTGCAGTTACAGTTTTTTAGAATACCCTACAGCTGTGTCCTGAACTTTTCACTATATTCTAGAGACCATTTATGTTCTTGTAATGTGACTATAAGACTGTTAGGTCTAAGCCACACTAACAAAAGTATGTGACATTACAAAAGACTTGTGACATTTTCTACATAAGACATATTATAGTATCTTTTATTTTAGTATATTCCATAAGCAGTTTGCACTTGTAAATGTGAAAGGGAGAGATTGAACCATAAATTGCTAGGGTTTTTTCTTCTCCTCCTAAAGCATCTTGACTGAAATTTCTTTGTTGTTTATTTCTTTTTTTCTACATGGCCCTGCTCTTTAAAACTCATGAGTTTATTTGTTGTACAGGTCAGTGCATTCACATACACAATAACATCAGCCTGTTGTAGGACTGACAGCATCCTTTTGCTAAACTTCTCACCCTTCTGTATTGTGCAGTGATTTAGCTCCATAATACAAGCGGATATCTGATTATGGGGAAAATTACTCATTTAGTCCATTGCATTTTGTACAATTATTATTGTTTTCTTAATCATTTTTGCTCCAGTACAAGGACAGAGGTAAGGATGAGAGGCCTCAAACATGCATCTTCTGCGTGAAAAGAAGTTATAAAAGGTCTCTATAAATGTGTCCCTTGGTACATAGATTAAGCATCTCAAAATGTAAAAACCAATACTCTTTTTCTTCCTCTCATAGGTTTCGTTGTATTGTTTACCCCTTCAGACAGAAACTAACCCTAAGGAAAGCCCTGATCACAATAGTTATCATTTGGTTTTTGGCCTTGATAATCATGTGCCCCTCTGCAGTCACCTTGACAGTTATCAGGGATGAATATCATTTCATGGTGGATGCGTACAACAATTCCTACCCACTCTACTCCTGCTGGGAGGCATGGCCTGACAAGGGAATGCGAAAGATCTACACAACTGTACTCTTTTCTCACATTTATGTAGCCCCTCTTACCTTAATTGTAATCATGTATACACGGATTGCTTTCAAACTTTTCAAGTCCTCTGTGCCCATAGGAGACTCCCAATCAGAGGAAAATGAGGGGAGGAGGGTCTCTAAGAGGAAAGTCAAGGTTATTAACATGTTGATCATAGTGGCATTGTTCTTCTCGCTCTCCTGGTTGCCCCTCTGGACTTTAATGCTTCTGACAGATTATGGAAACCTAACGGAGTACCAGCTCAACCTGATCACAGTTTATGTTTTTCCATTTGCCCATTGGCTGGCATTCTTCAACAGCAGCATCAACCCAATCATCTATGGGTATTTCAATGAGAACTTCCGAAGAGGGTTCCAGGAGGCTTTCAAGGTCCAGCTTTGCTACATAGAGAGCAAGCACAGAGATACTTATTCAGAGAGGAACAATAATGGGTTCCTTTTTGGAGCACGAAACCGCATTTTTGTTGAAGCCCGCCCTAGTGATTCAGTACAACCCTCTGAGTCTGGACAAAGTAATCTCCCAAGAATTGGGTTATTTCCTCTCAGGAATGGGTGTATTGGTCACCATGGGCTGATGGTGGAGGACTTGGACAATACAGGTTGTTCACACAACAGTGTCAGTGTCCCCGCTTGGGATATCTAAGAATACTGCATATGGGGCTCCCATAGTTGATGGACCTTTCAGTGGACAATCCTGAAGATCTGTGAACCATAATATTTGAAAACAAACGCTCTCCATTTTGATTGGAAGATGTCTGAAGAGCAAACTATTTATAATGATGGACATCTAGACAAAAAAGCTATTCAATTTTAAGGACTAGATCGCTAAAGGTTTATATACTTATGTTTGGTACTACATGCAAAAGAGAAGGCTTCATGTTGAAGTTTCCAGATGTATTATTGTCTCCTACACTTTTGTGTGAATTAAGGAATATTTTACAGAGGGATTTTTAGGATCCAGACCTATGATGAGAGAGGACCCAGGAACAGTAGTTATTCAGTGAGATAACTGTGGTGGTAATGCAGAGCACAGCCATTACTTGTTGGTTACCTTATGGAATGCACTCAAGCTGGCTAGGCTGCTTCATTTGAAAGAAAGATCAAAGGAAAGGCAAAAATTTAGCCAGGAGTGGGGGAATGGCAGTGACAAATAGGCAATGTATAAGAATGCATCTGTGCTGGAAATAAGATAATTATTGGGAAAAATCACATGTACCACCTGGGAGCCAATTCTAAACCCTTGATTCTTCAGCTCAAAAAACCAAACAACCAAACCTAGCTTTTACAACTGGAACTAAGAGACTCTTTCTTTGTTGTTACCAATAGCTAGTGCATTATATATTAACCTCCTTCCTAGCCAGCTAACCAGATCTTGTCACACACAACTGAGATTCAAGGAATTAAACTCCAAAAAACGAGGCACCAAATCTATAGTAAATCCATGTGCTGTAGACACCAGACAGATGGCTAAAGAAGGCACCACACTAGCGTCTATTGCTGCATCATACATCATCAGCTAAAAAGGAGCTGTTACCTCACTGAGGAACAGAGATGTTTTTCTGCTTTTAGCATTAGACGGGGAATTGTGTCCCCCTGTATTTTAACTTCTGATTGCAAGCATAGAGAATGGACCATGGTTTTGAATTATTTGGGCCCTGTTTGCCCATAATACACTGCTATATTTTTTTCTGAAAACACAGTAAATTTGTCACTTTATTATTTACACTTTTATTTTTAAGTTGTAAATTATTTTAATTCTCAAAAATGATTGGCTTACCCCACTAGTTAGAGCCAGGCCTAGTGCAACCACTTATTTATTAGCTATTTCTTACTATCTCTATTCTCCTTGTAACACTTTGATTCCTCATTTTTTCAGGAAGAACGGCTCTTGTGCAAGAGCAGTTTTTTGCAGTCTACACAGCTCCTTTTTGTGAAAAAGTGGCTGTTAATTAATTATGCAAATGAAGCACAGCACAATCTTTTCCAGAAGAAGGCTACAGTGTAGCCATAGCCAGGGTGTCCTGGTTGCTTGCAGCATGGTGAGGCAGGAGAAAGGCAAAGCATGGCCTCTGTATTTGGTTTCTATACCTTCAGGCCATGTGCTTAGAAAAAACAAGTCCTGGTATGTCTGGGGTGTTGCAGAGTTTGTAGGTAAAGTTGAACAATTCCCAGGATTAGGCCTCATGCAGATGAGTCATTGCACTGTAGCTTCCTTTGCTGGACAATGGTCATTGATAGCAACTTGATATCCTACCTGAGTGTTGGCTACTCTCCTTAATCTTGACTCTGGGGAACTAGTATCTGGTTGATTTCCCAACTTCCAGCATGTTTTAATGACAGCTATATAACACAATCTTGTAACTTCAAATGCATAGATGATATATATAGAAATGACTTTCAGCAGATCACAACCTTTCCCCTGATACCTTACAAGGCATGTTTTATATGTAAGATCACAATGACATAAAAATGAGGAAGATGGGGGATACAGGATGCTCCCCTAAGGTATAAAATATCACAATATACTCACTGTAACATAAATTGTAAACCATTATTGTGCATAGCCTTGAGCTATGACTTCAAACAGTGTATTGTCAACCTTATAGAGCTCTTGCCTCATGCTTCTACTATACACCTCTACATTCTTTCAAAAACAATCCAAGCATCTGAAGTTTAAAAAAAAATGTTTGTGATATACAGTTGCTGTGGGGTTACACTAAGAACAAGGCTCAGTCTGTGTACATTAGAATATGCACTAGTAAAGGAAATGTGTTTAAGGTAGAGTGCATGAAGTATTCATAATATTTAGCATTGATATGCTACTTCTGAGTTGCTATGTGCTCTACAGATATTACATTAATCTTAATAAATACCCTGAGATATTGAAGTATAATCTCCATTTTAATTATATGGAATCAAGTATCCTAACCAACCTGCTCAAGTTCACAAAGCCATCAGTGTAGGAGCTGGAATTGGAACTCAATTTCTGACTGGCAAGCCTATCAGCAGTCCTCAACTCTCTGTCAAAGTTGTCAAGTTATTTAAAGTAATATCATCAGTCAAAATACCTGAACCTTTTCCATTCCTACAGTGAAGTAAACTCTGTTGCTAAATAAGGCCTTTGCAGACACATTTTTTTTAAATGGGCCTCAGAATTTGGATGCCCAATTTGATGAACACAAGAAATGCCTCAACTTCCACTGTACTTCTAGGCAGTCAAACCTAGATTCTCCAAGCTATTTAGGTACCACTCAAATCAATGGACATTTGAGGCATCACACTTCACCTTTTCTAAAAACCAGGCCTTGGTCAGAAGCGGAACATGAAAAACGGAGGTATCTAAAATTACAGGCTGCTTTGGAAAATGCTAAGACTTTCATTTTCTTATGACAAATATTTTCTTAACAATGCCCATTCTGTCTGGTTATCTGCAACAATTTATCAGATTAAGGGTGAGATTTAGCAGTGGCCTATGGTTGCTCCCCCTGAACTCAATAGTGAAACTAATTGACTTCATTGGGAGCAGAGGACAATGCTTGCAATTTTGAAAATGTCACCTAAATCCTGAGCTGTGCTAAACAGTCCTGGCTGCCTTCCATTCAGTAATGTAACCCAGGATGGAGCTTCCAAAACAAGAGTATATTTGGAAAAGTCACATAATGGGAATTTGGCACAGCAGCTCTGGCTTGATTTAGATCATGCTCAGTTTAGAAACAGATAAGCCCACACAACAGGGCCTAGTACAAATGAAATATCGAAGGAAAAGTTGCAGCTGAGAGAAAACTGTTCCCTGGAATGTGTATATCAGTCCATGTGCTGTTGTTGTTTGCTAACTTTAATATATTAGTATTCACTACCTCTTGCCTCTAGTGACACTGTGACTGAAGTTTTCCTGTATCAGAATTGTTATTTTGGTGTTTAGTAACTGCTCTCTCCATGTGGCACAGAATGGTATTACTGACATTTCTGTATCACTGACCACTAATCACAGAAATAAAACATTGCTTTTCTGGCTTTCTAACATTATTGCTAGAATGTGCTGTGCGGGCTGCAGGGTGCTACACAGATCGGTTTGGCCCCGATGTGAAGAGAGCAGAGAGCACAGCTGGATCCAGACTAGAACCCAGGGCTCCACATTCACTACGGATATTTTCGGGTGCCAAGTCCAGCCCCTCCACCAGAGCGGGGCCTGCCTACAGCGCTGAAAACGACGGAAGCGCGGCTCTCACCGCACCAGCTAGGAGGTGCCGGGATGTCGAAGGGCGGGGGAGGGAGCGGGGAGGCCGCCAAGCTGCGGAGCTCAAGCAGCGCCACGCAGGCCGGGGCCAGCACGTGTATCTGGACAACGCGTGCGACTGAGCCTGAGAAAAGCGCGCCTGCGCACAGTGCGCCCCATGATGGGCCAGGCGGTTCAGTAGGTGAGGCGCGGCAATGCGCTTGCGCAGCGGTGTTCTCTGGTAAGGCCACATCGCCATCGGGGAGGCCGCCAAGCTGCGGAGCTCAAGCAGCGCCACGCAGGCCGGGGCCAGCACGTGTATCTGGACAACGCGTGCGACTGAGCCTGAGAAAAGCGCGCCTGCGCACAGTGCGCCCCATGATGGGCCAGGCGGTTCAGTAGGTGAGGCGCGGCAATGCGCTTGCGCAGCGGTGTTCTCTGGTAAGGCCACATCGCCAT